AATATATAATAATAATAATATATAATATATAATAATATAATAATAATCATTATACCCGAAGGGGGTATCTACTTTTGAAGCTGGATCTTTGAACCAGTTTCAAGGGAAGATACATGGGGAGCGTCGCCCCCACGGCCCCAGGCAGGGAGTTCGGGGTTTGGTAGTCTTATTTATTCTGCCAAACCCTGGGCTTTACCTTTCCTCTTTCTCTCTATCCCCCATCCTTTTTCCTTTCATCATGTCCCGTACCGGAGGTTCTACGCGCTCACATTCGCCTCCAATCCCCAATGAGTGTAAGTGCAAGGCCGGTATGTCAGGTAAACGCAACGGTAATATACCCCAGGCGGGTAGAGCGATAAGCTCAGAATCCCGCCCGTCTTCTTCGGAAGGCGGCAATCGCCCCTCGGATTCTGGGGAGGGCACCTTGGCATCAGTAGCTGTAGGAGGTAGAATAACCACGGAGACGGCTGGGCCGATCCCCCGGTTCCTGGTTATTAAAAAGGTAGATGGAGAAGATTTTACTCACGTTAGTCCTTTTTTAGTTGCTAAGAGTCTGTATAGCATCATTGGGAAAAATCCAAAAACAGTAAAAATTAAGGGAGGTATTTTAGTAGAAACTGTTAGGGACGATCAATCTAGAAGACTTTTGCAAATTACTAGATTTGCTGGATTTCCTGTAGTAGTTGAGCCACATCCATCGTTGAATATCACTAAAGGTGTTTACTGCAAAGATCTACTCAATTGTTCAAGAGGAAATTGTGTCAGAATTGAGAGATCTAGGGGTTATTCATGTTCAAAGAATTAAGACGAGAAGAAACAACGTATTAGAAGACACAGCCAATCACATTCTCACTTTTAATCTTCCTAGGCTCCCTGACAAAATTCAAGAAGCTATGTATAACTTACAAGTGCGTCCATATATCCCCACACCAGTAAGATGTTTTAGATGTCAACGCTTCGGACACGCTGCTGCAGCGTGCTCAAGTGAACAGTTATGTGTATGTGGCAAAGCAATGCATGTAGGTAATCCTTGTGAACTCCCCATAACGTGTATAAACTGCGAAGGATCACACTCTGCCAAATCTAAGTTAGCCCCAAATATCAAACTGAACTGGCCATTCAAAGGTGTAAAACACTGGAAAGAATAAGCTACATGGAGGCTAAAAAGAAGGTAATTGCTCAAACTCCTAGGCCAAATGTGTCTTACTCTCAGGCGACACAATGTCTAGTCAAACAGAACACGATTTTATGAGGAAAATATCTCCCAATTCTCGAAAACATTGTTAAAGTCTATATCTGAGATACTTAAGAATACTCCCCCAACACAGCAGATCACACTTCCAGGAACATTAAATCTACCACCACCCACCAACCACCGAAAAAATTTGTAGGAGTGGTCACTCGCTCAACGAACTGCTAGACGCGTCAAATATATCAAAAAGGAAGGCTTCCTCACCAGCAGAAGGCACTGCTTCTCAGACGACAGTCAAGCTTCTTCTCAAACAGAAGGTCGTAGAAAAAGAGGCCGGCCAAGAAAAGCTGTAAAAGACCAGCGCAGTCCTTAGCTCTGCACTTCCGATCCAGCAGAATATCGACGAGATTCAGACGACTACTTCACAGTCTCAGGACATAATTCGTCCTAGCTCTGTATATCCTCCAGATCCCGGAGCTATCTCATTGCAAGAATCCGTCGATCTAACTTAGCTAAGCAACCGTATTTGAAATGTGATTTAAATAACTTCTAAAAAAAGAAAAAAAAAACTTACATAGTATTTTTTTTATTATTTTATTATTTATTTATATTTATTTTTTTGTTCTTCTTTACTTGCAATGTCTATGTCTTATCTGTACGTACATGAGCATTTTTGAACTTTTAAACATTTCCATAATGGAAAACATAATACAATGGAACATTAATGGTATTAAATCGCATTATCCTGAATTGAAAGCACTTTTGCTTGATAAGACACCATTCTGTGTATGTATCCAAGAGACACATCTCAAGCCCAATGAAAATTGAAAACCTTATCAATCAGCTCCCACAACCATTCATCCTTCTGAGCGATTTCAATTCCCATAACCCACTGTGGGGCCCACAGAACGTATACGTGCTGCCGCTGCACGTAGTATACCCAAAAACACTGGACATTTCAAAACAGCAGTACCTTGGTGGAATGAGGAGATCGCCGAAGCGATAAGGAAAAAGAACAATCCTTTAACTTCTTCAAAAGACACCCCACCCAGGAGAACTTGATAAGATTTAAAAGAGATAGATCAAAGGCTCGGAAACTTTTTAGTGTCTGGACAGAAATCCTCCTGGGAAAACTATATTAAAACAATTACCAGTGATACTACGGCATCGGAGGTGTGGAAGAAAATACGCAGCATATCTGGGAAAAACATTCAAACGTATGTCGAACTTTGATTGTAAATGGTCTAACAGTATCTGACCCTGAAGAAAAAGCTGAAGCACTCGCATCCCGATTTGAACTCTCAAGTTCATCGGCAAACTACAGTCAACATTTCAAGCAGCTTAAAAATGAGGTGGAAACAACAGGCGTCCATTTCGAGGAAGGGCCTGACCTGACTTACAATTTGCCATTTTCCATAAACAGAACTAGAGCAAACATTAAGTGAATGTAGTGACTCAGCACCAGGACAAGACCAAATTCACTATGAGATGCTTCGTAATCTACCCGAAATAGAAAACAGACCCTTTTATACATCTACAACCAAATATGGCGAGAAGCAGAATATCCCACAGAATGGCGTAATTCCATCATCATTCCTATACTAAAAGAGGGGAAAGACCTACTAAATACTTCGAGTTACAGACCCATCTCCCTCACTTGCTGTCCAAGCAGGTTCTTGAGCGGATGGTTAACAAGCGGCTGGTATGGCTACTCGAATCGAATAACTTGTTATCAAGCTACCAAATGGGCTATCGCAAAACAGGTCGACTATCGATCAGCTTGTAATGCTCGAGTCCGCTGTACAAAGTTGCTTTGCTTCCAGAAAACATATGGTAGCTATTTCTCTAGACTTCGAAAAAGCCTATGACACCACTTGGAGAATTGGTATACTGGAACAGCTTAAGCAATGGGGAATCTGTGGAAACTTACCACGGTTTATTTCAAGTTTTCTCGAAATGAGAACATTCCAGGTCAGGGTAGAAAATAAACTATCCGAACTCCACATTCTAGAAAATGGAATTCCTCAAGGGTCGACACTCAGTGTAACTATGTTCATAATCGCAGTTAATAGCTTATTAGAAACTCTTGGTAATGGTGTTGGTAAATCAATGTATGTAGATGATCTCGTGGTCTACCATGCCGCCAAAACTATGGAGGAGATAGAGAGTACCTTGCAACCAACTCTTGATAGGTTGGTGCAAGCTGCTGAAAATAAGGGTTTCAAATTTTCACCCACAAATCTTGTTGCGTTCACTTTTGCAGGCTCCGAACCCCTCACAACCAGCCCAATATCACCATTAAAGGAGCAAGTATTTCTGTCAGAGATAATCTGAAAATTCTTGGATTAACCTTTGATTCGAAACTCTACTGGAAAGCCCATATCGATAATCTTGTTTGGATTGCAAGAGATCTCTCAACATTATTAGATGCCTATCAAACATATCTTGGGGAGCAAATAAGGAAGTTCTAATTCGGATATACAAAGCCCTAGTAATGTCTAAGATGGACTATGGAATGATCATATATTCAGCAGCCAGAAAATCGCACCTGCTTCGCCTCGAAAGAGTTCATCGAGAAGGACTTAGGCTATGTATTGGAGCATTTAGAACAAGCCCATCTCTATCTGTAAATTATGAAGCTGGCGTCCCTCCTCTAGAATACCGCATACAACAGTTGACGATGAACTATGCTGTTAAGCTGTGGGCTCAGCCATCTCACCCAAACCACAGTATAGTCTTTAACGATGAAGTGAATGAGACATTTATGGCCAGACCTACAATGACAAGGCCCACTGGCGTGCGAATACATGAGTATCTAGAAAGTCTTGAAGTAGAATGCCTCCGCTATACCCAATACAAAACTACGAAACCACTCCTTGGACTTTGAAGACACCCTTAACACGACTAGATTGTGCAAGATATTCTAAAGCTGTCAGAAACCCTACAATTTATACGCAGGTATTGAGCACTATTAAAGATCAGGTTAGACCAAAATTGGTCATCGACACAGATGGTTCAAAAACTGAAACGGCAGTAGGAGCTGCCTTTATAATACCTGGCGAATCATTTCGATTCTCGCTTGATTCGAGATGCTCAATATACACAGCGGAACTATTTGCCATTCAAAAGACAATGGAGTTCCTCATGAGTGCTGAGCCTGATACGTATATTATTTGTAGTGACTCGCAAAGTGCTGTAAGTGCTATCAGAGATATTTTTAGTAGAGACCCGGTGGTTCAAAAATTCTTGATCTTTATTCCCAACTGGAAATGCAAGGCAAAACGGTAGTATTAGTGTGATGCCCAGGCCACATAGGAATTTCAGGCAATGAGAGTGCCGATGCAGCTGCTCGAGCTGCCTTGCACAGTGCACCCTCTGAAAGCTCCCCCATAAAATTTGAAGACCTTAAAGCATATTTTAAAAGAAAAATAAACCACTTATGGGATCTACGATGGGAAGCAAAGTGCAACGCGTTTGCGCCTTTTACAACCCAATGTAGGCAAGTTTGTTTACCCTAATACGTTGTCACGTAGGGAGCAGGTGTGCCTCTCACGAATTAGGATTGGTCATACTCGTCTAACGTCCTTACACTTACTATTGAATGAAGACCCACCAAACTGTAACTCATGCCAAACGCAATTAACACTAATGCATGTCCTAATTGAATGTCCACAGTTTCATGATGCCCGTACGCGCTGTGAATTACCACTCAACATCAGTGATTGTTTCGAGAATACCGACGCATGTCAAAAATTACTTCAATTCACAAAACTATCAGGACTGTTCAAACAATTTTAATACTTTACATAACAAAAATAGTGACACCATAATCTACGTACATCTGCCTCCCTCCGAGTATCACACAACTAAAGTATAATCTGACCCAGCAAAAGTAAAATTAATAAACGATAGCGACACATCTGAAAAGAAGAAAGAAAAAAGAGTATAAAATGTTTATGTATCTACCTGTCTTCGTCTTGTATACCTCCACGTTTGTGTTTTTGTCTTACCAAAATATTTGGTATGTTTTTTTTCCTGTTTTGTCTTTTTTTTCTATTTTTTATCAATGGATATCTCAGCTACTGAACTCACACCGTAAATCACCCAGATCTACCCTGTGGTGAAAGTAGCAAGTGACCATCTGGGAAGGAGGAAAGCGGCTAATGACCTTCGCTGTCGATGCCGCTGTGGGCTTAAAAAAAAAATAATAATCATTATAATAATACAATAAGTTGTGAATATATTTATATGTTGTATTGTTGATCTGGTAATTAATGCGCTGTTCCATCTTTTGAAGATCCTGGAATAAATATATGTGAATTGTGAATTCCAAACTAGAGAAATCTAAATTATATGGGAACGAATGCGTAATCCGCAAAGGATGTATGGAATGTACATTATTGGGTGTAAGCGGCCGGGTTCGGTAGATGAAGCGTCACAACGTGTGCTTTAGATATGAGCTTTTACTCCTTTGTATGATGCATTTACTTGATAGTAAAGGGTAATCGTGATTCATTTTGAATGTGGCAATTGCTTTTGCTTCTACGTTTTTCTTTGAGCATCTACTTTTATTCTACCTTATGCTTATAAACACTTACTTGTTTTTTATTCATAGGGCTCAAGGCCATGCCCTTTGTAAGTCCGACAAATATTTAAAAGTCCGAGTTATTGCTATTCGATGGCATATTCCTTCTACTAACACTTACGCTCACCAAACTAAAGAACACTGACGCGGCTTTGAGTCGCTCCCGAAGTTATTATAAACTATAATACAAGCTCACAGGGAAACTACTATTTTTAGTTGTTTTACTCCGAATGGTCATATAAGTATCGGCTATAATACTAAAGAAAAAAATTGATCATTCTATGATGGGTAAAAAATTATATTCTTAAATTTATTATAGTTGTGGGCTACAGAATTTTGCAAGCCTAGAAGGATGAATGAAATAGTGGTAATTATGACATGCGTTAAAACGAAAAGGTTCACAATTAAGGACTATTCTTACAAAATCTTCGATTCCTATCAACAACACAACAATAAGTTCCAATAAAATGATAGTTTCTTTAACAGAATGTATCCGTATATGTATTTGTACATTAGATATTTTTTTAAAATCTTCAGCTCAGGAAAACCTCCCTCACATTGCTAATGAAACGCAAATAGTCAAAAACATTATAATATCAATGATATACAGGGCAACGGGTACCATTTAATAATAAATTGAAGAACTTCTTGGGCGTTCCATCTAGAAACAGCAACATTTTCATTTCGTGTATCACGTGCTCTTTATTAAATTCATAGTAGATTACCAACAATTGTTTTTTGCTACTGCTAAAGTATCATCAGTATCAGTATCATTTCATTAAGCAATTATAAAGAATGTTCATTTAATGATTATAAAAGGGTTTTCTCAACATTTGGAGGCCTTATACTGGAGGCACGGAGTGATCCACCCCATCCGCGTCCTCTTAGTGTGACACTCAACTTTATCTTCATTTCAGTTCAGTTCAGGAAAACCAATAGTTCATTGTAAGGCCGATCAAAAAACTGACAGCTGGTCTTCTAGGACGCAGATGTCTTGTTAGGAGCATCTAGGAATCTCAAAAATATAGATACTTGACTCTTAGTAGGAAAAAGTCGGGTATATTGTACCGGTATTCAAATTTTAAAAACTTATTTTTAGAGGATATAAAACAACTAAAGGAAAGCTCTGCTTTCGATTGTATATATGTGATTGAGAAGTGCATACATCGTGTAACATGAAATCACATTTGTGCATTTCATAAGAAAATAAGGACAGATTATATAATAAAAAAGATGTCAAAGCATCTAGAGGTGGAACGAACCATCGCAACGGATAAGGAAAGCTATACCAAAAAAATCTCTCTCGGCTGCAATTTACTTGATGTTTTGAATCTCAACCACAGTTGATTATACCATTTTATTACATCTCTATTCGAACATATGTTCTTCTTCTACGAGCACCATTTTTGTGTGTTTATGTGCCCCTATGCGGTGCTTCCCCCATTCTCAAGAGAAGGCTGTAAATCATGGGTCGAAAAACACCTCTTTTGTTCAGACTGGAACAAAAACTTGCAAGCACTCGGCACTGGATTGGGATGGTTCGGTCCATTTACAGATGTTTTGATATCTTCTTCATTATGTAAAATGCCTTGATTTTACAGTCTCCCCGGGTGAGCTATGAGCACCTTTTCGAAAATGACAGTAAGACAAATAGAATGCTCTTGATAAATCTCCATGTACGAAGTCTTCTCCGGCTGACCTAGTCAAAGTAACTAATGTAATACACTCGTATACACCTGACCAATGGCAAGCAAAATCATACAGAATGGCGGCAGGTCACCTGAAAATTGAAAGCAAAGTAAATTTTATGGTATAAGCAATAAAAATGGATGTGAAAGGTGCCTACAAGTTCTGTAACTCGCACCCATTCAAGGGCGCATTCAGGATTTCGTCTTGGGGGGGGGATGGTGGGGGGCGCAAACGATATTTGGGCTGGTCATTTTTTAACCTCAGTGGAACTTCTAGAAGTTATCCTATTATTGCTCCTTTAATCCATTGTGTTCTATCTGGTCAAGGCCAGCTTGAAAAAAAACATCGAAAATGCTCAGAAATCTTCAAAGAGGCAATATTTTCTTAAATGAGAATAAAATAAGTACATGGCATGTATAATTGCTAGTGTAATAATATTGAAGATTAAAACATAAAAAACTTCATTGTTGGTAACAAAAAAAAGATACTGAGAAGCAAAGCGCGTTGGTGTAGCGGTACGAGAGAGCTAGATCGCCGACGGCCCGTCTGTGCGAAAGGGTCCCGAGACTGTCTGTTAGAGAAGAGTTATCAATCAGTCGGACAGCTCTCCACTGGTCAGCATCGATCATAAATAATGTAGTCGGGGCGCCAGCACCCCAAATGTGTGAGCAATACTCGAGACTAGGCCTTATCTGGGCCTTGTATAGAGTGAGAAGGTCATGGGGAGAAAAATACTTCTGAGCTCTAAACAAATAGCCTAACTTTTTCCCAGCAGCTGCTGCTCTTGGCGAGATGAGTTCGTGCCTGACCAGGTCCTCGGTGGTCTGGACTCCGACCTGCCGAAGTGAATGGCTCTTTGGTAGAGCTCGGCCATCCATCGAAACCGGATAAGATTTTGGAATCTTTTTGTTCGTCAAAGCATTAAACTGTACAAAATTGTTGCGTCCCCAAACGGTGATAACCTCCAGGTCTCTCGTCAGAAAGGGAGTCGTCGCTAGTCTTCTATTTTCCAGCTCAGCGGCAGAGATCGGCTGTCACTTTGAATTTCTGCATGTAGAGTGCTGTGATTAGCGAAACTGTGGTTTGGGTTGATCGTGCATTAAAGGAGGTCGTTGGTATGTAAGAGGAACAGTGTAGGAGCCAAGACCGATCCATGGGGATCACCCCCGTTGACGTTGTGGGATGAAGAGGAGAACCCGTCAATTACGACGGATATCTTGCGGCCAGAAACAAAGTCAGTAACCCATCTGGAAAACATTTCTGGGAGGCCATAGGGTGGAAGTTTGCTCAAAAGGGCAGCGTGTGATGGCTGATCGAACGCTTTAGTGATGTCAAGAGCAACGACATAAGGCTCACCATAAGACTGGATGAGTTTACTCCACAATTGCGTGACGTAAGCTTGGAGGTAGGCACCTCTAAATCACCTTACTTACTCGTAAGTATGTCCTTATAGTTCACCACTGATTTTTTGGCAACTGCTACATCATTTTGATCACAGCACTAAACTTCACAAGCCGCAAATATATTTTCTTAAAAATAGTCGGGTGCGCTTACACAACAATGATGGTGAGGTGGGATATTTTTGCTATATTGGAAGAAAGTACTAAAAACACTAAAAAGATTTAATAATGTATTTAATAACAAAGAGTGAACATACATACTCTAAAAAGCTAACGACTGAACATACCTGCAATTACCAAAATCTGCTTACATAGCTGAAAGTTTTCAAAGAGTTCTCACATTGGACAAAATGAACTAAGACTAGGAAAATACAGAAACTCTTAAGGGGGAGATCATCAAGTCAAGTACTGTTTTTACCTTTGAGGCAAATCACAAGCAGAAATACGGATAAATATAAAAAGCTAAGATGGCAAAGTTGATCAACATGAAAAGTTGCAACACAGCTAGGAATAAAGTTAGATAGAGTAATTTCGCATTCTGTAACTATAACCAACATTTTAGAAAACCCAAAAAAATCGTATCGGCTCTTGAAAGTTCTGTTCTCTATTGTTCAGATTTTTCACACTGTTTTCATAGTCTAGAGATTGCATTTCTGGTATTACAATTCCAGTAAATAGAATATTGAACACAAACAGAATTGTTGTATTAGACATATAGTCCTATGCAAAACTTGAACTTATAGTCGAGTATATAAATGATTATAACAGAGTAACAATATAGTTCCTTTTTTGAGCGCCATTACTATCCTCTTCCATACCACTCAGCTCTGATGGATGAATGTGCAAGTGATTATTGTCCCATCATCTTCAGTGTGCTCCGCTGCAAAATTATCAGCTATTGACAAGTTGTGTAAAACGCAGCATGCGCATATGAAATGCACTGTCTGCCTGATGCTTCTTAGCTTAGCGTGGTAGAGTTGCCTCCATTTTTGTTTCAAAAGGCCATTGCAGTGCTCTGCTAGAATACGATATGAAGAATGTTTTCTATTATAGTTCAGTTGCCTGGATGATAACTGGCACCTGTCTTGGAATGGATTTAAGAGGTTGGGTAACAAGAGGTATGCACTATCTCCAAGAATGTGGTCGGCACCACACCTCTGCTCCAGTGTTTGAAAAATAGACGTTCTAAATACCTTAGCATCATATACAGAGTCCGGATAGCCGGCAAACATACTGATAATTTTCAAATCTTGGTCGCATATAAGTTGTGCCTGTAACGAAAACAATTATAATTACAAATAGTTACATAATATATACATTGGAATAGTCTATCGACCACGCTATGGAGTAGACGCGCGTTTGTTGTGCTGCTGCAAAAATTGAATTTCTGATGAGAAATTGTGCTATTATACTTTTGATTCTTTCCAAGTGGTTTGTGCTAGTGATTGCCTACTGAGCAGTTATAGTGCTATTGTGATTGGTGCATTGCTTAATAGTATAATCTGAATTTATTTTTTTTCCATTATGAGCAATACCAGGCAAGGTAACAGGCGAGGCGAGGATGAATTGCTCGTAACTGTCAAGGATTTAGTCTCGAAGATTTGCTCATCTGAAGATTTTATTGGTCAGATTGCTACCTCAATCACGAAGGTAATAAGTGAACAAGTGAAAAAGGATATTGATTCTTTAAAGCAACGAAACAAAGAAGTTGCCTCACAGCTCAAAACTCACGGAGAGGCGATTGAGAAAATAATCTCAAATCAAGATAAGCAAGAGCAGTATTGCAAGCGTAAGACTTTGCGCATTTATGGTGTTTCTGAGGACCAAAGTGAAGATTGTCTGCATAGGATCCTCCTAATCCTCAGGGATAAAATGAAAATAAACGTAGAACGACCAGCAATTGAATGCTGCATTAGAATAGGGTAATATGAACGAGATAAGAAAAGGCCGATAGTACTTAAATTTAGTTCAATGTATTATAAACAGCTCGCCTATGATAATAAAAGGCTCTTAAAATCATCTGGAATGGTCATCCGGGAGGACTTGACTCAATATAAATTGAAGCTACTGAAGGATGAAATCACGAAAATGGGAAGGAATGGTAGAGTCTGGACGACAAACGGCACAATATTCTGCAAATATGATGGAGAAGGCAGAACTGTGAAGATAGAGAAGCTCAGTGATATTGCAAAATTGTGAGGTCCGTTTTGTTCATTCATATTGAGATGATAATGCAACCGTTTTTTTTGCAAAAGAAAGTTTGTACTAGATTAGATTTTTTTTATTCTTGAAGGCTACGTTCTGCCTGATTCTGTCGCTATTGTTGATTTTTTATTCATGATTTTTAAGTTTTTACAGTAATGAATAGAGGATGATAGTCCCATAATAAAAACACTATTTTGTGGCCTGAATATATTAAGTATATCCACTTTTTTGTTTATACCTAATAATTTGTTTCCCAATTATTTTGATCACTCGACATTTCTTCTCGTTTATGTTCTTATGAATCAATACGGCGTCATGACGTCATCCTCTATTTTGATTCTGAGCAAGTAGGAATAGTTTTAGTTGTTCTCATTTATGTATTGCTAACAGTTTATCTTTTTCTCATTAAGATGATTATATATCCATTTTAATCTGCAGCACAACACTCGTGCAATTGAGCTCCCACTTTGACGTGGAATCCGTTTTTTTTTCTTACTTTCTTTCGTACTAATTTTTTTTGAGACCAACAACTTTTTGCAGATTACAACATTCATTTAATTCTAGTAACCTACATATATGTGTATATGTATGTATATGTATATACGCAACAGACACTATTCACACGCTAACCGACTGACACTGACTGTATGTATAACTGAACTGAATAACATAATTGTAAAACATCGTTCCAAATTCTTTCGCTTTTTTGTTTCCGATGCGATGAGCCGAGGCGGATTATACATATCCGTTGTTGCCAAACACCAGCACATGATATTATTATTGAGACAGGGCGGTACTCAAACTTCCAAAGGGCTATAACTTTGTTACTTTAATTTTACCAGAAAAATGGTAAAGGAAAAAAACATTTCTTTTGATCAGATCTACTCACTGTTAAAATAAATGACTCAACTTCGAAGTATATATAGTATATATATATATAATAATAATAATAATAAATGGCCTTTATTCGTCACACGATTACAAAATAATTGGTTTAAAAGGAACAGTGACGAAAAGGTGGAGTGTCAGCTTATGCTGTTTTTCAACCCGACCTGGAAAACATTGACACAAACTATAGAGAGAGAGAGAAAAAAAAAACTTAGAATATAACACTTATCAGAGAAAGGAAACAATCAATTACCTGTGGATATGCATAAAGTAAAATTTTAGCCATCCGACTGCTTTAAACTCATCTTTAACCTTTTTTTAAAATTGCTTAGGCTATATTCTTTATACTCACTTGATAAGCAGTTATATAGTTTGGGTGCCCAGTACGAGAAACTGCGTGTGAACAATGCTGTCGAATGCCGCGGGATAAGTAAGATGAGTTTATTCCTAGAGGATCTTTGATCGCACTGGCAGAGGAGGCTTAGTTTTGTATAAAGATAATATGGCGCTTTAAGGATAAGGGTCTTATGTACCAGAGATAGGCAATGCAGTTTCCTCAATTTGTTCATCTTAAACCATCCCGATTGGTCAAAAGCGCTACTAATATGATCAAATTTACGGATTCCATAAGAAAATCTGATGCATGAGTTTTGTATCATCTGAATCCGCTCGGCATCACGTTGTAAAAGAGCAGGTCCATAAACAGAGTCACCGTAAGATAATTTTGACTGGATAAGGGACTCGCAGAGTTTAAGCTTGAGCTGTGTCGACAGGACACTTCGACTCGGATATAACTGACGAAGCACATTATAGGACGCATTGCATAGTTGGTTAACATGTTTAGTGAAGCGTAGCTTGCAGTCAAACCAGATACCAAGGTTTTTGGATTCGTTTACGAAGCATATGTCTTCATTATTCACCATAATATTAATGCGATATTGATTTATTTCACGATTCTTTTTGGGCCCAAATAAAATGCAGCATGATTTGCCAGGATTTAGTTTTAGATTGTGAGCACTAGATATGTCAAAAATAGACTGCAGGTCTTGATTTATTTGATGTTGGCCAAGCATATATTCATCAGGATCGAAGCAGTTATAAAGTTGGGTATCATCGGCGTAATGATGAACGATTGAGTTGCTGGCGGTTTCATGAAAATCACATATATAAAGAGCAAATAAAAGGGGACTCAAAATACATCCTTGAGGGACACCAAAATTTCTGAATAAAGAAGTTGATATATTGTTTTCATATATGACTGACTGTGAGCGATCAGTTAAAAAGCTCTTAATCAGCGTGCAAGCCGATGATGACAGGCCAAAGTATCTAAGCTTTTTACAGAGAATATTTGGGTCAACCGTATCGAAGGCCTTGCTAAAATCAAGAAGAACTAGGCAGGACAGCTTTCCTTGATCAACCGCGCTATAAATATTATCCGATATAGACAGGAGCGCAGTGGTGGTGCTATGTAATGGTCTGAATCCAGATTGGGAGGTGGTCAGTAAATTATTTTGACAAACAAATGTGTGCAGCTGCTCATGTAGAGCCATTTCCAAAAGCTTAGATAAACTTGGTAAAATGCTTATAGGACGAAGATCAGAAAAACTTGAAGGATAATTAGATTTAGGCAGAGGGAGAACAAGAGCATTCTTCCAGGAAGAGGGATAAAGATTATTTGTTATACAAAAGTTAATAATGAAGGTAATATACTTGAGCAAATGCTTATGTATTATACGGATCATATCAATTGTGATGCCATCTGAGCCTTTAGCATGACTTTTGATGCGATCAATAAATTTCTCTACAGTGGCAGGGGAAACTGTCGTGAACAGAAAAGTACCACTATTCTTGACGTTTTCATATTTGTCTAAAAGGTTCAATTGAGTTAATGATTTGGTTGTTTGAGGTACGTTTAAAAAAGCACTATTTAATGAATCGAGATCCTGAAGATGTGGAGGTAGACTTATGGAGTTATGTTTAACGATATTCAAAGATCTAAGTATATTCCATGTAGTCTTCGAATTTTTATGTCTCATAACATAATCGAGGTAGGCTTTTTTCTCTCGCCTAATACCACTAGAAAATATATATATATATATATATATATATATATATATATATATATATATATATATATATATATATATATATATATATATTATCTTTTATCTACTATCTTGTATCTATCTTATTTTGAGTAGGCGCTATAACTGGTTGGCTTCTTTTCGATAACCATGCAAAATATAAACATAGGTAGCTTAAACGTTCGATCGTTGTTACCATCTATATCTAATGTTCGATCTCTAATCACTGAGCACTCTTTTGATATTTTTTTAATTTGTGAGACTTGGTTACATGCTGGAATTGATGATGATGCGGTGCACATTCATAATTTTAGTTTATACAGAATTGATCGACATACTAGGGGTGGTGGATTACTCATATATGTAAAGCATACCATTAATAGTGAATTGATGCAAATTGAAGAAAAGTTATTTAGTGAGCAATTGTGGATTACTGTTAAGTTGAATAATAAACGTTTTGCGATTGGTGTTGTTTATAAGCCTCCATATGTCGAAATAAATAACTTTTTGAACGAATTTGAGACAGCTTTGAGTTTGATATATCCTACTGTGGATGATGTTATAATAGCGGGAGATTTTAATATATATTTGTTTTACTTGAATAGTGCTGTTAATAACTTTTATTCTGTTTTAGAGGTATTCGAGCTAACACAAATTATTGAAGGACCAACGCGAATATCGGGTGTTTCAGCAACGCTCTTGGATCTTATCTTATTACCGGAGGAACTTGTTTTAGACAAAGGAATAATTGATGTTGGCCAGGTATCAGATCACTTTTTGGTTTTTTGTAAAATGTCAGTTTGTAATCCACATTCAAAAGAAAAATTTATCACTTATAGAAGTTTTCAGTTTTTCAATGAGGAACATTTTCTGAATGATCTCCGTGGTATATCTTTTTTCCAAATGTTCGACCAAGACAGCATTGATACGAAAATAGCCTTTTTCACTAACTGCTTAGTTGAATTATTCGACAGACATGCCCCTTTAGTTAGAAAACGCGTTACAAAAGGTAGGGCGCCATGGATGACTGATACAATCAAACAAATGCAGCAGCTCCGTGATGAAGCACTTAAAAGTTATAAACGATCAGGTACTCATGCGCACTTACAGTATTATAAAGATTTAAAGAATTATGTCACTAGCGCTATTGGAAGAGAGAAAAGAGCGTAGTTCTTGCATAAGTTCTTACAGCAGTTCTCTCAGCAAATGTGGAGGATATTAAAACAAAACAAGATGTTAAAAAATAACTTTAGTAACTCATTGCCCCCTAACCTAATGGATGTGAACCTTCTGAATGATTTTTTTATAAATTCCATCTCCCCAAGTGAACCTCCAGATTCCTTAATAAATTTTTACAAAAATAACTGTCTGACAAACTCCAAATTCAAATTTAGAGAATTTGATGAAATATTCATATATCAAGCTATCTCTGGTATTAAAACAAATGCTGCAGGCTGTGATGGCTTGGGTATCTTTCTAATAAAACTTTGCTGTCCACATGTTATTCCTTATATCAGGCATATAATAAATTGTTGTTTGATTCAAAATGTTTTTCCAGAAGCATGGGGGAGTGCAGTTGTAAAAGTAACTCCCAAAAAGCTAAATCCTTCAGATTTTAATCACCTCAGACGAATAAGCATCTTACCAGCATTGTCAAAATTATTAGAAAAAGCGGTTGAGTTGCAATTAATGGAACATTTATCAAAGTTTTCTTTGCTTTCTCCAATTCAATCTGGTTTTAGAAAGAATTTTAGCTGTACAACTGCACTTCTACATGTAACAGATAACATTATCAGAGCCACTGATCAGGGAAGGTGTACAGCTTTGATAATGTTGGATTTTAGTCGAGCTTTCGATACGATCAATTTTAATTTACTCCTAAATATGCATTTTATAGGCCTCGATTCGGATAGTGTCAACTTTTTCAGTAAGTATCTAAAGAGCAGAAAGCAAAAGGTTTTCTTGGAGGGAAGTTATTCTAACGTGTTAGCCTTAAAATCAGGCGTGCCACAAGGCTCTATTATGGGTCCACTCCTTTTTGCAATTTATACTTCATACCTGGGCAAAGGCTTAAATAATTGCAAAATGCACTGCTATGCTGATGACACTCAGCTGTATCATAGTTTTCTACCCAGTGATGTGGACATTGTGAGTGCAACCATCAACAGAGATTTATCATTATTGACAAAGAATGCCGAAGAACATTTTTTACATCTTAACTCTAGCAAATCTAAAGTAATTGTATTTGGGCCAAAGCATGCGCGCCAGGCTGTTACTAACTCAATTAACTTTACCATCAATGCACAACAACTTGAAACTGTCAGGGAAGCAAAGAACATGGGTATAACACTGGATGTAAATTTAAGATTTGAAAAACATGTAAATTCGCTCATTCGTAAAGCATATTCCTCTTTAAAAATATTGTACGGCAACAGACGTAACCTTCCCGTTAAAGTCAAAATAAATCTATGTGAGTCGTTGGTGCTCTCGCACTTCAATTTTTCTGATATGTTGTATGACCCATGCTTAACTGCCACTTACAAACAAAAAATTCAGGTTGCGCAGAATTTTTGCCTCAGATTAATATATGGCATCAGAAGACGAGACCGAATATCCCATAAGCTGAAAGATGCGAATTGGTTGAACATGGAAACAAGGAGATTTTTGCATGCCGCAACATTATATCATAAAATAATTTTGTATAAGACCCCCACTTACTTATTTGAAAAAGTTACATTTCGAACAGATGTGCATAACATCAATATAAGATCCAGGGGGTTGCTGACACCGCCGATATTCCGAACAGCCCAATTTGAACGATCGTTCAGCTACCAAATTTGTTTCATTTATAACACCCTTCCGGTACAATATGACATCTGAGCATCTCAAGTTTCAAAACTTCAAAACTCAATTAAAAAAATATCTCTTATCCCAGCAGTAGTAACCATGTTTCAGGGAAAACAATTGATACAAGTTTATGATTCTTTTATAGTAGATGTATGTAAGCACTGCATATACATTTAGTAATTGTAATGTGTAGAATAAGTAGGTCTCACTCACCTTTTGGACAGACTTTTTTATAGCGGGTTAAGTGGAAGAGCAGCTACAGCTGAACTTCGCCCGTATTTGGCTATTTTTTATCTAATCAGTCTATTTGGAAATAAAGACGTTTATTGTTATTATATATATATATATAATGTAGTGTATTTTCAAGATGTAGGTATGCAGTCATATAGCAATAATTGAAAATTAGCAGCAAATGAGCATGGAGCACAACTATTATAATGCATCGAAAGAACGACTATGTACATATACTAAGTGACATATAAATCCGAACACCCAGTTTAAATGGTTTTATTTTAATAAAAGTTGGTGAATGTATCTTACTGTAGATAACAAGTGAAAAAATTTTCAGCCTTATCAGTTGGACATTCCGGTTTTTATACTGCTTTTTGTTAATTCACTAACGCTCTAAAAATGAATATTTCAGCCGCAGTAAAGAATCAACGTTGGCGGATTTTGGTTCTTGACATCCTTTACGATCGGTTACGATGCCTAGAGTACGGAGACCTGTATGATTTCGCCAACTTAGTGAGTTTGATAGGGGCCGTATAGTGCGACTTCGGGAAGCTGGATTTTCTTTTCGGGCAATTACAGTTAGAGTGCAAAGAAGTGTAGACACTGTGGTTAGGTGTTGTCAGGCATGGCTTCGAGAAGGCCGTACGTAATCGCCTTGAGTGGTGCAGATAACGGTCACTCTGGGATCAGGAATGGAACAGTATTGTCTTTAGTGACGAGTCTCGATTTTGTTTAGGCATGCACGATGGTAGTGGCAGGGTTAGAAGGCGACGTGGTGAAAGGAGGAATCCACAGTTTTTTGTTGAAAGACGTTCATCACACTGTCGGAGTTATGGTTTGGGGTGCTATAGCTTATGGTTCCAGGTCACCTTTAACCTTCATCAGAGGTAACATGAACGCGCAGCGTTATATCCACGAAGTTCTAGAACCCCATCTTTTACCCTCTCTTGACACCCTGGCAGATCCAACTTTCCAACAAGATAATGCCCGACCACATGTTGCAAGAGTCACAATAGACTTCTTTCAACATAATGATGTCACATTGTTACCATGGCCACCAAGATCTCCCGACTTATCTCCAATTGAGCATGTGTGGGATATGATGGGTAGGAGATTGCTCAATTTGCAACGTCCTCCTCAGACTCTAGAAGCACTTCGGAATGAGATACCACAGGAGGACATTGACCACCTGATCAGAAGCATGCCTAGGCGCGTTGGAGAATGCGTAGCACATCAGGGTGCATCCACACATTATTAAAGGTCAAAGTGCTTTAAAGCAGTGCAATCATTTTGAAATTTTTATCATTTACTTATTATGCTTCATTAAGTACTTATACAAAATTTTATTAAAATAAAACCGTTTAAACTGGGTGTTCGGATTTATATGTCACTTAGTATATGGTCGAAGTTAAATACGGGTGATTATCATGAAAGGTGATTAAATCGATCTAATTTTGTTCAGAAAAAAAAATCGAGTTTTTCCAATATCTGTTGCAATTTCGCGGAGAAACATCATAAGATATATTTGATTAGGTATAAGGTCAAACAGTTTACCTATTGGTTTTTGAAATTATGAGGATTTCGAAAAAATATATTTCACGGAGGTGATCACCTCTCACGGATGTGAAAGCTACTTCATATAATTGCAAACTCATGTTAAATTGGTTTATATTTTAGTCCTTTATTCGAAAAAACGATTATATAAATGTAAAAGAGCATAATTATTTCAGTTTAAAAGCATAGCTAAAGGTATATTGTCGTCTTCATCCTCCGACGATGATGAATAAATCTCAGAGTATATCAGTCTTCTTTTTGTATGTGCTAATAATCAGTTAAGGAAAAATGAGGAATTAGAAAATATTTGAAAATGCCAAAATAATTTGATAAAAAAGGATACTTTGCTGCAATTGGTAAGTTCCCAAGGAATAATGAGAACAAACTTTGGATGGAGAGCAGCTGAGACAGGTGAGCTTTCGAATATCTAGGAACGTATGTGGTTTCACCCAAACAACCTCATGGCACTGTAAAATTCCGGTATACGGTGGCAGTATTTTAGGTATCGTCTTTTCAATTTTGTCAAGCTCTGCATCATCTATCTGAACTTCAGAGAGAATGAGACCTTTACAGTTTGCTTTCAAATGGAACAAAAAAGATTGTAGGTTAGATATGTCCATTCCTCGAGCCACCATAGCATCAGCTGTGCGCTTTAAGACTCCCCCTACTCCATCTGGAGCTCCCTTGCCATGACCTTTCTCACTATAATGCCACCGTAACTTTTCTACATTTAACTCGTTCGTAATGAAGCTTGCCATCAAATTGAACATCTTTCTGTTACGATATTGGGTTGAGGGTCCGTCACTTACAAAATGAACGCATTTCAAATTGCCTACAAAGGTTTTGAGTTTTTTAAAAACGGGAAGTAGATGGGCGCAAAGTGCCTCAGGGTCATGCCGCAATTTTTTGGATACTGTACAGAAACATTTTTTTGCATAGTATTGTTAGAGCTTCTATAATACACAACTACCGTGTGCAAGCTCAACTGCATTTTTGAGCCCCCAAGTGGGCTGACTGGACTTCTTCAGCATATTTACATCCATAATTTTCGGAGAAATCCATATGTATTAGAACTTCTGTATTATCCATATTTTCTTTGATCTTTCGAATTTCTCTCATCTGGTGTTCTAAATTTTTTATATGCAAAAGAAGAGGCTGCAATGAATTAAGGAATGCTTGAAGAACCTCACCCTTAGTAGACGTAAGCTTCTCCTTAAAAGTTTTTGTACACAACTTTTCTTTTCCTTTCACTACTATTGTAACCCGCTTTATAACCCATCTCTCATGAACTATGGTGTCCGATCTATGAAATTTAGCTGTAACTACTGTTTTCTTCTTACAACTTTCGCATTTTCTTTCTAAACATATTTCTTTCAGTACTTCCCCTTCGCAACAAATGGCTCTACATACTTCTTCAGGAGAATTCTCTTTTATAATATTTGCGATTTTCAGCCTTCTAACGAGCAACCACATATTCGCGTGGATCATACAAAGGCAGGTATTTCGTTCTTCTATTTTTGGCTGTATAATCCAGAATGGGCCTAATCGACAGAAGGTTGTGTAGCTAATTAGAAACTTATTTTCTTTTATAAATCGTCTATGTAGATTTCTGAGTGTATCATTTAGTAATCGTTTCTGCCTCTTATCATGTTTTCTTATAACATAATCGTTTGTGCCAGGGCAGAGCGTACTGCAGTCATCTTTTTCCAGGATTTTTTTTATTTGTTGCCTGATGAATTCCTGATTTACTAATCTCGTTTCAGATTTATCTTTTGAGAATGTAAATACAGACGCAGTTCTTTTCAAATAGCTTATTTGTTTGTACTTTTTTACAACATTTCCAGAAATATTTTTCCAAAATGTGCTTTTCTGTGCAGGATTTGTAAGAACCCGATAATTTTCTGGTAACTGTTTCGCTATAACTTCTGAAAATAACAGTTTTTTCTTAACAGCAGGAGAAACAGTTTGTCCCTTGATTAGTGCTTCCACTTTTTTTTTCAGGCGAACCTATGTTTTTGTGCAGTCGCTTTTTTAATCTTTTTAGTCTCATTCTATATTTTCCTTCTTTCTTTTCTCTTTTTCCAGTTCGACTTTTAACAAATCTATTTCTTTTCTTAGAGACTTTACGTGTTTTTCTTCTTCGTGACCTGCCTTGCCTCTTTCTTCCATCATCTCTTTCTTGAAGTATTTCATCATATAGTGCTTCAGCCATTAGTTCTTCCGGGATTGGAGTGGCAGGTGGTGAGTTTTCTTGTAATTTAAGCTCGAGCTCCTTTGCATTTTTCTTTCCAAGATAGTGTTTTTTACTTCTATTCCGCCACTCTTTCCTTGATTCCGTTTTTCTCTTTCTGACATTTGGTCAATGGTTTTAATTTGGCCAGCTTCTTTTCTCCGGTAATACCGTTCCCGTTCTTTTCGCTTGTCTTCTTCATACTTCTCTGGATCCTGTCGCCTTGATTCACGTAGCCTTCTCATAGCTTCGCGCTGCCTTCTTTTCTTTGCTTCGTGATGAGCTTTTGTATTTTTGTTCTGTACTTTTAAACGAGCCATCTTCTGAAAATGTCGGTGCATATATTATACTTCAATTCACTAAACCATTACAATGTCTCACCTCCGTGAAACTTGGTTCACCTCCGTGAACTGGTAACTTCACGGAGGTGAGGCTCACGGAAGTGAGGAATTACCATATTTTTCTTTAATAACTTGTTGTGAAAATGTCTTGCACAAGAAAATTTCAAACCAGCTCTAGTGGGAATATTATGCCACTTATCAATATTAAAACTACGCATTTTTCTTATTTACTTACCAAAAAAAAAAAACAAATTCACGGATGTGAGAACAACAAAGGTTCCACGTGGTTAACAAGTCTTAAACTAAAGAGAGAATCCATCTGATCACTTTCAGTCCCTAATATCGACTGAACGAAATAGGTCGTGGTTTGCTGTAACGCGATACAATGCCAGAAATTGAATAGTTCGCCATCTGTGAGCCGAAATCTGCATCAAAAAGTACGTCACGGAGGTGATACCTACTTTCCAGAACAGGGGTTGATGCGCAAACAGTAAATTACATGATATTCCAAAAGAAAAGTTTTGTTCATATCTCTTCTACAAAAACAAATTCTGGAGATTCAAGATAAAACTTCTATAGATTTCTTCCTTAGTAATAGTTTTTATGTAGCCTTGTGATGGCAATGGTAAAAGAGAACAGTCACGGAGGTGAGGTTTTCATACGTTTTTTGGTTATAAATAAAAAACAGAAATATTAAAGACTATGCACTTATTAGTTATGAATATTCCTTAACTTTAAAAATGTACCTCCATTATTAACACTTGGATTTTTTTTTATAAAATGATATTTTTTAGCGAGTACTCAAAATTTTCACCTTTCATGATAATCACCCATACACAACCGTTGTTTTAAGCTAATTCTAGGTAAACTGTATATATTAAGAGATCAGTAACTCTACTTGGTGCATAGGTACATACTCATAACTACACTAACCTGTATAGAGTAGTATCCTTTTCTATTGATCTATGATAACGGATCATCCTCTCGTTTGTCAATCTTTATATGGGTTCCATCAATAATACCAACGATTCCAGTATATCCATTTTTATTCAAGAAATATTGCCTTGTCCTATTTGTTTGTTGTTCTATAGGCCATTTTATAATTTCCGGTGCGAGACTACTCAGAAAGTTGGTCATTTTGGCTATAACAGCATGCAGGTAACTCACAGAAACATTGAACCTATCAGCCACATCCCTGAAGCTGGCTGTTTGATATCCAGTAAACCATAAAAATATACGCGTTTGTTTATACGGGGTTAGCTTCCCATATGGCCCTACCTGATAATTAAAATGGCTACTGCCACGGAATTTCTCTGATATTTCTTCTGCCACTTCCCTGCTCACCCGAAAATGAACCAAAAACTAGATGCTGTTGACTTGTGGCAGTGCTTCCTCTACAAATCTCAGGTTTTTGGGTTTCATTCTCTCTTCCAATAGGTCTTCAAAGTCTTCATCTTCCGAAGAAAATTCTGACATTCCTGAATATTTGTTGCTTGATATATCGCTCATAGTAATCGCCTTTTGCGAAGCAATATTAGTCCTCAAGATAGTTTCGACACACTCTGATACCTGCCACTGTGACTTATTGACTGGGGTACTCCGACCTGTCAGAAGATGCTGTACAAACACCGGACTAGCTGTCGGCAAACAGTCAGAAACTGTACGAACAGGTAACATCTCTCTGATTCTGATTTTGACAGTCACAGACAAGTTACCGGCTACTGTACGAACTAACCATAAGTTGTTGAAATTTTCTAATCCCTAACAGAGGAAAATACGACATACTGGCGACATCTCACGGGAACCATTTTTAATATATTGTAGTTGATTATTTAATCACAGATTTCACGTGTGAAATTTCAGTGTTGGTTCTTATAGTTCAGGCATCGAAGCTATCGCATATGCAGAAGCCTAAATACCAGAGCACTGCGGCTGCTATGAGGAGCTTAAAGAAACTCTCTTAATTCAATCTTTGAACTACCTCAGCTTAGTAGAATTGGGAAAAGCCTCCTCAGGTAGATTGTTCCATAATATAAATAACCCTAGGGACTCAGGGGCGGTCGTATCGGACAGTTCTGGATGTAACGAAGTTCGACACGGTTAGGATGGTAAGTCAAGAGGGTCTGTCTAACAGCGACATCGCGCGGCGGTATCATGGGTGAGAGCTCTGAGGAGAAAAGCCCCTTGACATAACTGTTGATCGCCGACGTCCTGTCGGTGCGAAAGAATCGCGAGCCGGTTCGAGGGAAAGAATTATTGATCAATCGGACAGCCCTCCTCTAAACAGCATCAAGCAAGGAGAATGTAGCCAGCGCAGCAGCACTCCAAACATGTGAGCAGTACTCGCATCTTTATCTTATCTGGATCTACAAGGTGAGGAGGTTATATGGAGAAAAGTACTGCAGAGCCCTAAACAAATAGCCTAGCCTTTTCCCAGCAGCTATTGCTATTGACGAGATGCGTTCGTGCCAGATCAAGTAGTGGGTGATCTGAGTCTGACCAGCCGAAATGCACGGCTCTTCGGAAGAATGTGTCATTTATCGATACCGGATGAGCGCTAAAGTGCGCTTCCTGTTATTCGAGATACACTATTGTAATATCCAACGTACTATTAGGATTCAGCTAAAAATGTATGACCTTTCTGTAACTGATTCCTGCAAACTTCTCGGTACGCACTTTGACAGTAGACTAAACCTTGTGAACATATTGATCATGTTGCACAAGCTTAAGTACACTATACAAATGAAATATTTTTTGAACGCAAAAGGATTAGTCGAAGTCTGTTAAGTATTGGCATATAGCCACTTATCTCACAATATTAGAGGAGCCTAAAAGCGAATTAGCAGGTTAATGTTTGGAATGAAATCCCATGATTCATGTAGAAAAGTGTTTATGTCTAAGGAAATTCTCAGTTTGTATTGTATCATTTTTAAAATATATCGCTTGTGTTAAAATAGATGACAACCTGCTAGCCAACATCAATACTTATCATGAATGATAAGAGGTTCAAAATTTGAAAGTGATGTCAGTGAAAAATCATTATTAAGAAGTTGCTGATCCCAGTGATACTATAATAAGTAATACATATTTTCCCTATATCGGCCATGGAAACAGAAATATAGTAGATTTGCTTTAACTAATCACAAATCGATTTCGCGTTTTGACACGATTTAACTTATCCCTTTTACCTTTAAAGCTTCCAACGTAGGCTTAGGAGGTATAGAGCCAATCTACTTGGAACCATTTTTTTAGTTTTTTGTCATCGACCATCATCTGCCCAGAGACTTTTGAACGGTGGTAAATACATAAAAATGTAGTTTAGCAGATTGGCTGAGTATTGCCTAAACGTATATAATTTTATTGTGTTAACTTTCGTTGTATTATTATTTTTAATCGATTGTACCTCCTTTTCATACGTAAAAACGAAGCTGAAATATTTTCATAAAACCAGTTTATCAGCAAGTAAGCTTAATAGTAAATCTGTCACAGTTGTCTTACCTAAACTGTTGCTACATCGATACAGCACTTGTCTTATACAGTTGTCCTACAAAAAGTGTTCCTTTTCATCTTTCGGCATTGACATTCGGATGTAATATAATATTGGCTGTCTTACAATTCATCCTTAGTCTTTTTAGTACACTAGTTGTTTATTTCTCTCTGTAACGATTTTTCCAATTTCCTTCATTTTTGCTGAAACAGTTTTTGTACTATTTGTATTCAAAGTAACATACATCGATAGGGACTTTTGACTTGCACAACATGACCTACCACAATATGAAGTTCCTTAAAATTGACGGGTAGTCAAATTCCACGTTTTGTGCCTGGTACTTCAAGCTTTAATAATCATGTTCAGGTCATCATTATGATGTATGATCTGTATCAGTAACATTATAATTTATATGGGCCGATATGCCGAATTTAAATAAAACAAAGTCAAATTTTAATACGGCCAATTAAAAAATTTAATTAGCTATGTGACAGCTAACAAGATTTATTAGTTTAATTAAACTCCGACTTCTAAAATAGTATACTTTAATCTATGAAGCTAGTTTAATAAACTAAAACGCAATAATTAAAATCTTCAAACCGTTTACTTAGATGGAGTGCACCAACAATTTTTTTCCTGAAAAAGAACAGGAGCCTCTGAAACAAACCTTGAACATTTTAAATATGTGAAATATTTTTGAAACACTACGTAACTTGAAGGATTAAATGAAACATGGAATTAGGGGCATACCGGCCACCATAAGGAGCCTGTGCATGGGCCACGTGCACCTCCACATTCCTTAGACCTCAAACCTC